TGAGCTCTAGGGTAAGGTGGAACCCACTTATGGGCACATACGAGCTAAGTGAAGGATCTGCAGCAGAAGGGACAACCATGATACAGTTTTGGACAGCTCAGCACCCAGCTTCCCACTGGACTTCTGGGATTGCCACTGTCACAGCACAGAATGGCTGGGGTCATCAGGGTGGCTCAGAACAGGCTTTATGTAGGCCATACCATCTCATCCTCGCGACACTTCTGTGAGGTTGGTACCAGCACATTACCTCCTTTCTACAACCAGGGGAAACAAAGCCCAGGAACTGGGGCACTCACCCAGGTAGGTCCTCCTGTGGCGGGCTGGCAACAGAACAAGGATTCCAGCCCAGTGGCCAGGCTCCGGAACCCTGCTGCACCCCGTCCCTCCCTGCACCCAACCAATCCTCCCTGTGGCTCCTTCACAAATGAGGTCAACAGAAGAATTATAAAGAGCCTTGTCTGACCATCTGAACAACAAAAAAGCCACTATTTAAGCTGCAGTGTCATGGGCAATGCGACCCTGCTGTGCTAATACCTCAGGCTCACCTCAGTGGTCCCAGAGGCTGGGTCCACCCCCACCCCCACCACATCTGGGTTGAGCTAGTAGGCCCCCAAACAAAGAGCAAATTGGCAGCAGAGGAAGAGCAACCCTCGCCCAGGTCCCTTGTGCACCATGCCTACTCTGCAGAAGTCTGAATAAGCGGTGGCCGAGGCCACAAAGTCAGCCTGGGTGCAGCAACCAGTCCCTGTAGGAAGGTACCAAAGGCTTTCTTTGACTCCCTAACACCTTTGGCTTTGCTAGAGACTTTGCCTGGTTTTCTTTGCACCACAAATAGGAACCTCTGGCAATGGCTGTCCTGGTTTAGCGCCTAACAGGGAGCCAACATTCAGTGGGCACCTGGGAAGCGAATGCAGACTTCTGGGGGCACTGGTAGAACCATAACTTACCACTACTCCAAGACCTTTGAAGGTCACCGTGGTTGTGCTGTAATTTTGGCCTGACTTCCTACTAAATCAACCTTCAGCTATTGTCATGTTCCTCATGACTAAAACACTCAGGGTCACTCCAGGGGAACTGGACTGCACAAAATAATCAGACAAGACACAGAGAGACCTTTTTCTTTAGGGTCCTGTGATGGCTCCTCTGACCTTAAGGGTCAGCAGAAAGAGAGCATGTGCGGAGCCCTTTGATTGAGGAGAAGCCATTCAAATGAGGCAAGGGATCAGGTTTTGGGGGTTGAGTCTAGCTTCATGTTTTCTGCTGTCAGCAGGTTGACTGCCATCTAGGAAGGCCACACCCAAAGGCAGACAAGAGAAGGGGACACACAAAGAGAGTTTCCATGGAACATTCTATCCCAAACAGGGAAAAGGGGTAGTATTCAAAGGAATAGGTGAGTGTAGCTCAACCCCATGGTGACATGCCTACACCTGAAGACACACCCTCAACCTCCTGGACCAGGACGTCGTCCAGATCACTACAAAATGTAGTGACCAGTGACCAGTCAAAGCCTTTCGCTTCAGGATGGAAGGCGCGAATCATTCGGAGTGGCACCCTACAAACTATCACAATTCCATAGTGAAAATTATTGAGGATAAAACCTAATCAACCAAAGCAAGCAGACAACAAAATTATAATAGAACTCCTAAAATATTTACATCTTACAGATGCACTCCAGGATTCGGGGACACATACTTTATCTTCTGCTGATATTTGCTAATTAGTAGCTTGAGACAAAAAATTTCCTATAATTATAGTAATCTTTCATTGGTATTTAATTTGAAAGTGCTCTTTAAGAAAGTAAAAATGTCAGTTCTTCAAGGTAAATCAGGTTCTTTGCTGTTTCCATTGTACAGACAGATGACTCAATATTCACTGGTATTTTGCATTCTAGCCAGGGATGAGTTGCTGAGGTGGAGCTGGTTGGAGAAAGGATCTTCTCTGCCATATTCCCTGTAATAGATGGAAAAAACCTATAAAGGATGGGTGCCAGTAATAAAGAATGAAAGGGGTCCTGGACAAGAGGTTGATTGTTCGTAAAATCACCAAAAACTGACCTTTGACCCAGATACAAAGTAACCCAGGCATGGATAGAACCCAATGGAAACATGGTCCTGGACGGCTAGAAAATGTGTGATATTCCTAACAATCATATGCTTAATTTCCAAAATACATTAGGCCACAACGGACAATAACCTACTCACAAACTTTAGACAGTAGGTAAAGTTGATACCGCTGGTCACTGGTGACGAGTCCTGCTCCCCACATGTTGAAGTAGAACATTAGAGAAGCACACCCAGGCAAGTAGGTGAAGCAGGTTTATTTTAAAAGGGGTAACATAGACTGCTCCCCGTGAGGGAGAAGGGGCCATAGCTGGCATCCTGATCCCAAGAAGCATAAGTGTTCTGCCCTTTTTATATGACCTAGACTTCCTTTGTTCTCCGGCCTTTTCCCCCTTATCTTTCTCCTTCCTGCCCAAGTGACTAGGCCCAGGAGTGCTTGGTGGGATGGCCCAAAGGTGGCAAACAGTGGGCTGAAGGGGAAGGGCAGGACAGTCCGGCACAGGACACATTAACAAACAACTTTATAGCTCCCTGTAGGGAGGGGTAACTCCTGGGACAGGTGACCTTAGCAACAGGTGGGAGCAGGGGCAGGTTCTTGATAAGGGTGGAGGAAGGCTCTGAGGAATGAACATTTCCATCCCTCAGGGACAGTCTCCAATTTGCCCCATTCCATCTGACCTGACTCATCTATCAGTCAATACAGACTGGCTGCCTAATTCTGGCTTCAAACTGATCTAAGGACCCCTCACCTCTATGCCGAGCACCGTGTGAGTCCATCTTCATTCACCTAGGTAGAGGCTCCTTCCTCTCTGGCCTGCAGGAGAAGGTAAGGATTCCGTCCAGTTTGTCAAGGGAGGCTCCAGCGGGTAATCCCTAAGGCTGTACCCAGAACACACTGTTTCACAGCCAGGAGTGACCCCAGGGTTGCACCCCCCAAGGGAGGACTTGATGCCCCTCCGGGAAAGGCCTGTGAACCCCCATGGTGCTCCCTGAGGAAAGCCAGTCTGCAGCCCCAGGCTCCGAGCAGCCTCTCCTGGAGAGGCCATGGGACTTCCTTAAAAGCTGAAGGCATCTTCCTTTTGTGACTCTACACTGTTGAATTTATATTTTAAGCAGAGCCTATCATAGATCATAGTCAAAATCAACCACTTTTAAAGGCTCTTAACGGGTTTGAAACACTGCCTTACATCTTTGTTCAACAGGAAGAATGAGAGCACAGCAGAGTGTGTCACTCAGTATTCTATTTGGTTAAGTCCATTGTCAGAATTTATTCTGAAAATGTCCTAAGGAAACAAGATGAAGTTAGTTATGTATTTCCTATCAGACAGAGAATATCAGTGGTAACTTCATTTTTTAAAGATATGAATATTTATAAAATTGAAGAACACATATATTCACAAGTAAAATTATGAACCAATAATAATTTGGGTGCAAAATCTGACCCATCTCATCATCAAAAAACATTTGACAATTTACTCCAATATCCGGTTTTCTTTAATAAATTATAGTTCTTGAGCTTTCTATTTGGAATGGCTTTCTTCAAAATAACTTCTGCTCAGGATAGTAACCAGATGTTATTAAATTACACACTCACATCGGGTGATCACCTCTCTGACCCCCAGGACAGCTACCTTTTGTATGACTCTAGCTGCTAACATAATGGACTTACCTCTACACATGAAGTGAACAGGAAGTCAAATTAAATCCTGATGGTCATGTCTGAGTCATGACCACTCCAAACTGAAATCAGTGATTGTACATGAAAGTAGTCCATAATGATGAATAAGAAGTTTTAAGTTAACATGGGTATTTTCCCTATATAACATAACATATCTGGATATTCCAAATATTGGTTTGACCAAAGTACTGACTTTCATTCTAATGCATGGGTGTTACATCTGTACATAATGCCAGTTACACCAGATGGTAACATTTCATGTAGGTCAGTCTTAAATCTAAAAAGCATGTGTTACTCATAATAAAAACTGGCCTGAAAGGGAGAAACTAACACTGTTTATGAAGAAAGATATAACTTTGTACAAGTTGGTATCTGGAGTATCTGCCAAGAAAATCTTGAATCTGAATACGTCAAAAACAAGCCGGGTGTGTCGGCACATGCCAGTAATCCCAGCGACCCAGGAAGCTGAGGAGCAGGACTGCAGCCTGAGCCAGCCTCAGCAATTTATTGAGGTCCTAAGCAACTCAGTGAGAACCTATCTCAAAATAAAAAGTAAAAAGGGCGGGGGATGTAGCTCAGTGGTAAAGCAACCCTGGGTTCAATCCCCAGTATCATTAGAAATAAATAAATAAATACTACTTTAACAATAAGTATTAGTAAGGTTAAAATTCATTTTTACTACAGACTTGCAATTGAGCAGATGAAATATTTTGATAAGAATTTCTGTCTTCACAAATGTGGGTCTGGTATACATGTAGGAGTTACTTTGGCAAATTTCTATTTCTACTTTCATTAATAGTCAATTTAAGTATGAACCATGTAATATTATATGTATAAAGGAAAATTGGTACTATTACTAATTAAAAAAAAAACACACAGAATTGAAACATGTGAAATAAATCATTAGTACATAAAACAATTAACCAGACTGGCCCACCTGCTCAACAGCTCTGCTAATTTTAAGCACTCGACATGTTTGGCTGAGATCACCTAATGATTACAGCACTGCCAAGTATTGATTAGTATTGATCATACATGTTAGTAATAACATAAATGAGTTTTTAACAAACTATTATATTCCTTTGCAATTTTTAATTTTTCAACTTAGTTTTTAAAAACTTTTCTCAGTACTTAGGAAAAATATTGTAGTTTTATAAATGCAGAAAGCAAGCCCAATCACTAAGTCACTCTTATGTAATAGAAAACTGTTGGTGATATTTGGGTCGCAAAATGTTAAACAGTGAAGACATTAGAGACAGTGAAAGGTTTTATTTTATTTTTTACTTTCATCCAAACACACCCTTTGCTGAAAAACATAAAAGCATGCACAATGATGAAATTCTTATAAAGAAAAACCAAGTCATAAGTAAGCTGTAAATCAACAATAATACAACGAAAGCTTAAAATGATAATGTGAAACGATTTACAGGTAGGCATATAGCTTTTAATTTTAGAAAACAGTTAATTCAAGTCAACATCAACATGTGTTAAGTTTCTGACTTCTCAAATGTTTTGATACAAAAATGTTTCCAACTCCCATGTTTTATTGACCTTTTGTGATAAGAAAGTTAAATACAGTCCTAAGAAACACCTTATTCAAAAGTGACCTCATGAAGGTCACCTTTCTTGTTAAAATCATTTGTAATCCACATAATTCCAATAATATTTTCTCTTAAAATTTAAATAGAAGCATATCCATGATATTCCAAGTTCCACAACTTAAATTCATTTTGATTTGTCAGAAACAAGCTCTAAAATTAGGACTTAAAAAAAAAAGTATTTAACAGAGACATGGAATTGATCTAAATTTCACTTTACATGTAAAAGAAAACGGCAATTCAGCATGAGGACACTTTTCATGAGTCTGATCCAAGCCTCCACTCATAGTCAGGCTGACCGTATTCTGCGGGAAGATAGGTATATGAATGTTGTACACATACACATACTAACGGACAGAGACTGATTCACACCACACTACTCTTCAAAGGTATTGTTTGAAATGGCTTATTCTCTGGTTTTGGAAAAGTAACGGAAGATAGTCAGAGAAAATTTCCCTCGATTTTTTTCCCTCCATTTTGCTTTTTATAATTCAATTGGTGTGTTTCATCTGGGTCACAAAATGATTTTGCAACAAAAACTGACCAACAGAAAGCAGAATTGTTATCTTAAAACACCAGAAAGCAGTTGTATTTAAATTATAACATAAAAACAGAGCATAAAAACAGACCTTTAAAAAGGTCTTCTTCCATGACTGAAAGCTGTGATTTGGTTCCTGGAACGTAGTAGCTCTTATTCTCACTTTGTAGCTCCATTTAAACCAATGGAAAGAACCAAATCTACTCAGTCCTGATGAATGATGTGAGGAAGGTGAATTTCTTGACACTGAACAAGTGCGAGATGCCTCTGCAGAAGTCTGGGAAGCTTGCTCGGAGTGCCTGGTGAGTTCCACTCCAAGCCAGGCCCGCTGGCCGGCCACTCTTCACTGCTGGTCTACTGTGCAAGCTAGGAGCAGCACCACTGGAGGAAGGGGTCCGGGAGGAAGGAAGGGCCCAGTGCAGCTACCATGATAGCAGAAAGATGGTTTCTGAATCAAACAGTTGGCTAGATCAAAGAGAAAAGAGGCCAAAGGCACATGCTAGCAATGGAGTCGTGATGTTTGTGGGCTCCGACCACCTCAAAGACCTGGGGACTCCAGATCCAGACAAAGGTTCACAGTAATTACTCTGATATAAAAAATAACAGGAAACAATTTTGTTTTCAAGCACTTATGGCACAGATGTTGGGAAGTACTAATAGCGTAGCTTAAATCTTCAAAAGCTGGGCAAATTCAAGTTCTGTTGTAATGAATCAGTTGCAAATTTAACTTAAAGTTCATTCTGACATTTGATACACTATTCTCTTGTGCAGAGTATAGGGTATGCAAATTAAGTGTTTTGAATAAATATTAGAAATGTTAATTATTTTTCAAATACAAAGTAAAATCAGCTAATATCGCAATACAAAAAAAAAACACTGAACAGAATTTCTTTCCCCATGAACATTTCTTGCCCTTTTCCTTGAACGTATTCATACTTAAATTCAGTTTCTTTCATGGGCTTGCACAAAGTAAGAAAAAGCCAAATATTGCTAGCTTCAAGATACTAAACAGTGATGAGTTTGGAGTTGTCAGGTTGTAAAAAAAAACTGAAAATAACAAATAGAGTGAAATATGCTGCAAATTAATGTTAAAAAATACAGCCCTCTAAATTACAAAACGACATCAAATTATACAATGCTAATAATCTTCGGAAGCTGACGTTAGCTCGTGGGAGGTGTAAAGAATAGCATAAGCTCCACTTGGCTTTTACCTTTCCAGCAGCTCCTGCAATAACGTTGAAAAACCACCTTATGTTTGCCCAAGATCATCTGCTTATCGGCTTTAGTCACAAACTCTATCTTATCCAATGTTCAATCAACAAGGCTTTATTTACACTTCTTACTAAACTCAGGAAACAAGTTGACGTACTAGGCAGCCACAACGGCGAGAGGCAAGGCAGCACATTTGTGGCTGGGGTGCCCCCTGCTCATGCTCTGATGGTGACCCACAGGCAGCCCAGCAGGGTCCCGTAGAGCCACGTGTTCACATACAGTTTCCTTCCCGCCTCCGTGGTCAGCATGCCAGCAGTCAGTCCACTGAGGATCAACAGTGATGGCAAGGTCTTCTTGAGACTTAGTTTGGAATGAACACATTTCCCAGGAAATTTGTTTCTTCTTTCTGGATCCGGTGAATCAAAGAATTCTATGAGCAACCTATGGTCATAATGAAAACCAATACAATTGAAAGTTTCAGTTTAAAGACATTTCAGAAGGTCTTGGAAATTCAGGGGAGATTGAGATTTCTAGCCTTTCACACTCTATATAATTCATATGAACTGTATTTCATGTCTGACTTCAAACATCTCTCAAGGATGTCTTTGAACCTTGACCTTCAGTTTTGCAGCAACCTGACTCACAGGGAGTGGCTTGTTGCAGCTTCTCTCCCTCCTCCCACAGCCCCTATCACACTACACAGCCAAAAAAAGACCAGCAGTGCTTACGGTACACATGGAGAGGCCCAGCAAAGCCCTAGTTCCCATGGAACTATAAACACAAGTAAAAGAAGGAAAACAACAAGCATCTTCCCAACTTAAAATGTGTAGAATTCCAATAGCAGTACATGATTCGATAATCTCAAACAAAATCAGAAAGGAAAAATGCTTCTATTGCCTTATAAACTGCACTAGACATAACCACTGTTTTAAAATGTCTAGCCTCGTCCTAAATACATATAAGTATCTATACCATAAAATAAATGAGATATTAAACATTGTTAGGTCTTTTTTTCTAAAAATAGATTTCCATATCAATACACAGATATTATTTATTAAAGTTCTCCCATAACCAAAATGGCCCTGAATCACTAGTTTAATAAATTCCATCATGTATAACTGCATTGATGAAACATAGAAATTCAACAAAGTTTCATTTTCTACCTGCCACACTTATAATACTTTTCTTAGGTTAACCCAGAAGGGCTAATTATGAGATATTTCACCATAATTCAAGGAAAAGAAGAACAACTAAGTCTCCTGAGAAGAAACATCCTAATGTGTGTGTGTGTGTGTGTGTGTGTGTGTGTGTGTGGTGTTGGAATTAAACCCAAAACCTCACCCATGTCAAGCACTCTACTACTGAGCTCAATCCCAAATCCTCAAACAACACTTTTTAATATGGACTTAGTAAATGGACCCACTGGGAAAAACAAAAAAAACAAAAAAAGTCTAAATGTTTAAAATACATCTTAAAAAATAGGATATGCTTCAGAAAGTATAAAATTTTCATTTATAAAATCAAAACAAGCAGTAAATATCCTGAAGTGTTCAACTGAAAAAATACTTTCTTGTAACAATAAATATCACATCTGAATTTAAGACTCACCTTTCACCTTTGAAAAGAAAATCCTAAAACTTCTCATATGAAATCAGAGACAGTGATGTTGCCTGCTGCAGCTCAGTGTGGCCCTGGGCTGTGCCTCACCTGAGAGGTATCCAGATATACCTGTAATTCACTTACAGGTAACCCTCAGCAAGGTTCAACTCTGTGCTATTATCGTGGACAAAAACATGGCCAAGGCCAGAAACTACTTAGGCCCCAACATACTAACAACATAGAGACACCTTCACCATAAAAATGTCAACTGCCCCTTCCTCTTCCAACACACACACCTGCACTATGCCCACCAGCATGGGAGGCCCTGCCCTCTGCACCCCAGGATGGCGGCTGCTCCTTGTACAAAAGGAACACACCTTTATCTGACCTGGGGAGGCAGACTCAAGCATCTTACACTGGGAAACTTCTCCTTTTTCCTTAAACTTTATATCTTACCACATAGTTCAGGAAACACTGACAGGTAGACAGCTCTTTTACACTGACTTGTAAAAGCAACGTATGAACAGATATGCAGGGAATAAGATACTACTTGAGTTTATAAAAAGTATTCTTGAGATAATAAAACTCTTTAAATTGGTTTCAAGTTATTCACTATAGTAAAATTTAAGTTTCTCGAATTGTTGTTACTCACTTATCTTTTATCTCAAAACGCTCATGAAGCCATCTTCTCATATACTCTTGTTCTTCTGGGACATCTTTCTTGTCTATACGAGCTATGTGAATATGAATTGTTGGACATTCTTTGCAGAGAAATTCTAATAAAGAACAAAAATATTTCACTTTTTGCTATTTTAGAACTCATGGTTATATAAAAGTGAACTGTAATGCATTCCGCTGTCATATATAAATTAAAAAAAAAATTAATTCCCAAGTACTTACACCTGATCCTCTTCCAGTGCTATACTGGTGTCCCTACTTTTTCATGAGAACACTTTTTTCCTTCTTTCTTTCTAGCTTTCAACATATGAGAGAAAACATAAAACCCTTGACTTTCTGGGTTTGGCTTATTTCACTTAATATTTTACTATTCAGGTTACTGCAAATGACATGATTTCATTCATCTTTATGACTGAATAAAATTCCACTGTATATACACACAATATTTTTATTCATTCATTGTATTCTATACTTTGTTATTCTAATTTGTACTGCCATAAACATGGATATACATACATTTCTATTTAAAAAAAAAAAAGAAAGAAAATAAGGCAAAAAAAAGTATTGATTATAAACTGGTAGTTTGAAGTTTCCAGAGGCAATGATGTGGTAATTTCCAAGTCTACTATAATTATGCAAGTCATTATTAAATAAACAGCACCATATGTTGTTTTCATACAACTTGTAATTCTCTAAGCATCCCAGGCATAGGAAGCTGGACCCTTACTAAAAGTCCACCTCATCCCTCTGAAGGGATGCCAGGATACTGATCACCATCAGACTCATCTCCAGTACCAACCCCTATCTAGCACAGCACCTGTTATGCATGGTTACTGCCACTTCCCCTAAAAGACTGGAGGCTTCTGGGGCAGAGGAGTCCATCTGGTTCACTACCACCTAGACCTCCCAGCCTGGTGAAGAGCTGGGCGGAAAGAGCCCTTCAGAGCTTTACTTCTGGTTGTAGGCAGACAGTTTCTTGTCATTGACTGCTCCACAGCCCGGAGAGATCTGGAGGAGCAGCTGCCTTTCCTCTCTCTTCTTGGCCACTGGCTATCCTTGATTTCCTGATCCTTGCCACATTTTAACAGATGACAATTGGTCTGGGAACCCAGATTCTTACTATGAAATAGCTACAAGCCCGTAAGTGACTGTTACTTTGAAGGCTTGCTAATATAGTAAAGGAGATGCTCTTTTTCTGCCTGGGCTGCCCAGGGATGAGGTGAGTGTTTACTGCAAGCCCCAGCCCTACTCCTAGCCCAGAGACCCCCTTGCAGACGGCTCTGTGGAAAGGAGAGCTCTCAACACACTGAAGTTCCTCAGGGAACAAGGAAATCATCCTCTGAAGTTTAAGAGTATGTTTCCCTGGTAGGTGTGAAGCAGGACGCTGGGGCCTTTCTTCTCAGCATTGCCCAGTCTGAGGGGGCCTTCAAGCTTCTCCTTAAGCAGCCTTTACGCTCTTGGACTCTGCGGGTGCTCTTTACTTCTGCGTCAGGCCTTAGCGACATGTTGCACTTAGGTCATCAGAAACACCTGAGGAGGAGCAAGCAGCTTGGATGGCAAGGAGCCAAGCACTAAGCCAGGGAAGATGTCACTTGTTCAGTGTTTCTGTCTTCATTTTCCTCCAGGTCTATTTCATCTACATAATCCAAGAACTGCTTACAAACTGCTCTTTGAAGCAGAAGTGCGACTGGTCAAGAGCACAGGCAGTGGGAAGCGGGAGCTGGCCTCGATCCCTCACGACCCTAAGCAAATCTCCTAGGCTCTCTGTGCCCATGCACCCACGTCTGAACAGAGGATGACAGTCACAGCAGCTCCCACACTCCCTAGTCTGCCTATTCCTCATTCTCAGTTCTCTAAAGTTAAGAGTGTCTGCTTACATTTACCCAAACTATTCTGCTCACTCAGAACTCTTTTTCTTCTTATGTATGACACAGATAATAGATCTAAGTCCTTAAAGCCCAGCATGTTTGAAAAAGAAATGTCATAATTTCTTCTTGTCAGACAGTGATACTAAGTTTCATAAGTATTCTATGAAAAACACATTCAAAGATGAGCACTGGCCGTCAGTGCACACCTTGATATCACTCAGGACCACTTACCCTACCTTTGATTTACAGAGCTGTCCGTTTCTATGTATGAGCTTCAGGTAGAAAGAGGCTGGGATAAGGACTTCCAAAAGAATAATGCGCAGCCAAGAAGTACCAAACTTGGCAGGGCAGATGAAATTTCAACTGGAGCCAATTAATAGCATCTTGAAAAAGACACCAAGTAAATGGAATGCCTATTTTTGAAGAATGGTGATACTCTTAATAGACACCAGCCACTGACATGTGCTGTATTAGCACTGAGTCTCTAGCACACGAAAACCTAGACTTACCCGTCATGGACGGTGACTCTTCTCGCTCTCCTTTATTGTCTTTCCCTTGGTAAACCACTGTAACATCATAAATCGCATCTAAGTAGTTCTTCATAGAATCAAAAGCAACATAAGTTGCCTTTATTCTTGGTGTCAGCACATACTTTAATACTGGAAGGCCTAGAAAAGAAGTCAATTCAGTGTGCCACAAATTAGGAGTATTCTAAGTTTTCAATTGTTTTAACTTTCCACAAGTAGACAAGACAGACAAGTATTAATGCCATAGCCTCATACCTATGGGCTTTAGCTTTGAAAGCACACCTCTCACAAGCCTTCTTCTATTTATGTCCACATTCCTTAATACAAACTAAACACTTACAGGCACAAGATACTGCATGGAGAGCTGCCAGAAAACAGGTCCTCGGAAACCCTTGGCTTCAGTATGCCCAGCCAAGGGCAGACGCTGGGATCCTCACTTCTGGCAACTGCCTCAGGCCACAGCATCCTGCCCATGACCACTCAAGATGTCTGAGCAGCACAATTCATAATTTATGACCCCTAGTCCATGACTCCTTTAATTCTACTTCTGCTCAAACTAAGACAGGGAGAGAGGAATCATGTAGATGACCTCCACTGTGTACAACATCTAATAAGAGCTCACACATTCCATATACTGCAAAATACTGACCTGATGTTTTAGGATAAACTGAAGAATACCACATCTTAGTGTAGTATTTTTTAATGAAGTATACAATCTAGTGGCTGAGTCTATTCAGAACTGCCAGTCATCATCACTAAGGCTAGACTATCCCCACTGCCCCACAGACACCCCATAGCACATATGTGGACTCTGCACACGCCACTCACTTGTGACGACCACTGCTCTGCCCGCTGTCTCCTGCTTACTCTGAACATTCCACATAAATGAGCTCTGACACTATGTGACCTTGTGTGACTGGTGGCTTCCTTACTTAGCAGAATGATTCCAAGGTTCACTTGCTCTTGCATGCATCAGTTTATCCATTCCTTTTTATGGCTAAATACTATCCCACTGCATGGATGGAGCACATTTTTTACCTGTTCATCATTTGATGGCATGTGAGTTGTTTCCACTCTTTGGCTCTTAGGAATCATGCAGCTATGCACATTCACATAAACTCCATATGAATTCTGCCCACTGAATAAGTTATTGTATCAACGTATGATCTTAATTCTCTCAGGTATTTCTTATACTTTTTAAAACTTCTTGGATGAGAAAACATTGCAATTATAGACAACTAACAGAATGTCACCAGTGTCTCTACTTGTGTGAAGGATTTGCAGTTCCCCTTCTATTTTCTGCTGCCTCCCCCTGCCTGGATTAGCACACTGACCAGCTTAAGGGAAAACCGCACATCTCTAGACATGCCTTGAACACAGACCACGGAGAACCTGACTTGGATCCTCTGCCTCCTCTTGCTGAGTCTTGCTCTGGCCCTCATGACTATTGGCCAAGAAAGGCCCATGGCTCTCACTGGTCCTCTGCCTTCACCCCTATTCTGAAGCTCCCTCAAGAAAGTGCTGTCCCGGTGTTTCTCCCCTACCTGGACTTGTGCTCAGGCCCCTCGGGGCTGACGCACACCCCCCTCAGGAGCCCTGCCCACTGGCATCCTGCACAGCCCAGCTTCAGTGCTTCTTCCCATAAAATCTCCCCAAACCACACCTAGAAGTGGTTCAGCCTCTGTGGACTTACTCTTTTCTGTGTTCTGGTTTTATGAAACTATGTAAAAACCTAAACAAGACTGAGGCAGGTGGCCTCTAAAACAGCTCCAGTAACCCCTGCTCCTGGTTCATGCCCGAGTGGGGTTGGACCTGGTAGCTGGCTTCTAAACAACAGAATACAGCAAAAGTGACGGACGCCACTTCCAACATCAGCTTGCAGGGCTGGGCCTCCTGTCTTGCCCATTCTTGCTCCAAACTCTTTATTTTTTTTAATCCTAAATTATAGTTTTATTTACATTTAAAAATACATTGGAAATTCTGAATATGCCCATGATCAAGCTTATTTTCAATGTACATTACTTCAGTTTTGATGTCATGGTTTGTTCTGACAAGTCCTTTTACAGACTCAACACCAAAATGGGGAAACCCCTATAGATTTTTGCTGGCATTGCTGCTGATGATGTACACTGCTCCCTTGCTAACAGTGATGAGTGACTCTAATCGGCTCCTTGTCACCTCAACGTTTTCTGGCCATAAGGACGATAACTGTGAGCTGATGAGCTGTGGTGCATCTACCAAAGCACCTGAAGGTCAATGCCATCAGCATGATTGAAAACTGTAGCTGCCAAAGAAGCCACCACGTTTAACTGAACTGCTGTGTTTGCCTTGCTGATGAGCGTTAGTTTTAACACAGCAACAGTTCAGCAAGGATTGAAATACTTAGTGTTTGTGGTGGTGGAAAAGTTCAATATCTGAAATAAAAAACAGCAGCAATTACTACATCTCTTGAAATTATCCCATTAGTAAGTGGAACTGGAATAAGACCTTCATAGGTCAAGCTAACATGGAAGATACTGATAAGGACTTTATCAGCAAGTGGATCAAGAGCACTTCCCAAAGATGATTTTTGATTGGCCCAGTTTCCAGCAATAAATCATCCAACAAATCAGTTAGCCCAGCTAAAGCAAAAACTCCTAATGCAACATTAAAATCTTCAATAATCAAACATCCCCAAGCCGGGGCCATGCCAAGGTACTCACTGACACCCTCTCTGGAACTGTCCATGAATGTTCATGGGGACTGGCAGTGCTCGCTGAGACCCACTCACCTTTGGGACCTCCTTTATGGGCCGGCTGCCGCAGGGCAAGTGCTATGGGTGCAGCAACCAAGCTTGGCCTGGCAGCTCAGGCAGGCGGGCACAAGTGGGCAACTTAGAGAAGTTCCCCTACAGAACTCAAATGTTCTGAAACCCTAACATTTGTCCCACTGAAAATCCAAAAATCTTATTTAATGATGAGATTGCTATTTTTTTCCCTAAAACCTATAAAATTATGAAATACAATCAGACTCTACTGTGGAACTTTTCTGAGATTAATGTTAACATGAACTGAAACTCTCTAAGGGAAGTACATAAAATACAACATTATCTAAACCCACCTGTACATGAAACTCTCTTCTTAACACTGCATGGACTTCATCACAGAATCAAGACTGTAAAGCCTTAAATAAAACTCAGTGACTTCATTAGGAAGACTGCTGTCAGCAGAGGGGCAAAAGGAGGCACAGTGGAAAAGACAGGAGCAAGTACTCAGGGAGTAACTTTTTTAAATTATTTTTTTATTTGTTTTAATCAGTCATATATGACAGTAGAATGCAGTTATGCACTTTAATATACCATCCATAGGTGGGGTATGATTTCTCATTTTTCAGAGTGTACAGGGTGCAGAATCACATTGGTCATGCAGTCACACAGACACATACAGTGATAATGTCTGCTTCCTTCTACTGTCTTTCCTATCCCCACATCCCCTCCCGCCGTCCCTCCCATCACTGCCCTCTACCTAATCTAAGGTAATGCTATTCTTCCCTAGTGTCCCCCACTTATTGTGAATTAGCATCCGCATATTAGAGAAAACATCTGGCCTTTGTTTTTTGGGATTGGCTTAATTTTCTTAGCATGATATTCTCCAAGTCCATCCATTTACTAGCAAATGCCATAATTTCACTCTTCTTTAAAGTGGAGTGATATTCCATTGAGTATATATGCCACATTTTCTTTATCCATTCATCTACTGAAGGACACGTAGGCTGGTTCCTAGTCTAGCTATTGTGAATTGAGGTGCTATAAACATTGATGTGGCTGCATCACTACAGTCACTGATTTTAAGGCCTTTGGGTATAAAGGAGTGGGACAGCTGGGTCAAGTGGTGGTTCCATTCCCAGCTTTCTGAGGAATCTCCATACTGCTTTCCATAGTGGTTGCACCAATTTGCAGTCCCACCAGCAATATAGGAGTGTACCTTTTTCACCATATCCTCACCAATATTTATTGTTGCCTGTATTCTTGATGACTGCCATTCTAACAGGAGTGAGATGAAATCTTAGAGTAGTTTTGATTTGCACTTCTCTAATTGCTAGAGATGTTGAACACTTTCTCATATGTTTGTTGACTGATTGTGTATCTTTTTCTGTAAAGTGTCTGTTCAATTCCTTAGCCCATTTATTGAGTTATTTGTTTTCTGAGTGTTAAAGTTTTTGAGTTCTTTATATGTCCTACAGATTAATGTTTTATCAGAGGTTCATGTGGTGAAGATTTTCTCCCAGTCTGCAGGCTCTCTCCTCACGTTATTGATTGCTTCCTTTGCTAAGAAAAAGCTTTTTATTTTGAATCCATCCCATTTATTGATTCTTTATTTTACTTCTTGCACTTTAGGAGTCTTGTTAAGGAAGTCAGATCCTAGGCCAACATGGTGAAGATTTGGGCCTATTTTTTCTTCTATTAGGCTCAGGGTCTCTAATCTAGTTCCTAAGTCTTTGGTCCACTTTGAGTTGACTTTTGTGCAGGGTGAGAGATAGAGGTTTAACTTCATTTTGCTACATAAGGATTTCCACTTTTGCCAGCGCCATTTGTTAAATAGGCCATCTTCTCTCCAGGGAATGCTTTTGATACCTTTGTCTAATATGAGATAACCATATTTATGTGGGGTTGTCTCTGTGTCCTCTATTCTGTACCATTGTTCTACAAGTCTATTTTGGTGCCAATACCATGCGGTTTTTGTTAACTATAGCTCTGTAGTATAGTTTAAGGTCTGGTATTGTGATGCCTCCTGCTCCACTTTTCTTGCTAAGGACTGCTCTAGCTATTCTGAGTCTCTTGTTTTTCCAAATAAATTTCATGATTGCCTTTTCTATTTTTATGAAGAATGTCACTGGGATTTTAATAGAAAATGCATTAAATTTGTATAACGCTTTTGGTAATATGGCCAGTTAGACAATATTAATTCTGCCTATCCACAAGCATGGTAGATCTTTCCATTTTCTGAGGTTTTCTTCAATTTCTTTCTTTAGTGTTCTGTAGTTTTGATTGTAGAGGTCTTTCACCTCTTTTGTTAGATTGATTCCCAGGTATTATATATTTTTTGAGGCTACTGTGAATGGGGTAGTTTTCCTAATTTCTCTTATGGATTTACTGCTGATGT